CAGGGTGGCTTCTGGGTAATACCAGATGGCTAGGCCTCAGACTGACGAAGCCTCTTGGATGAGGGGCGAAACGTTTCTTTTTAATAAAAAAAACGAAGTCCAGATGACATGATTCAACCTTTTTTGTTATGTCCTCTTATGTTTCCGTTCCTTAGTTTGAAGTAAGTCCATTTTATTGTACTTTAGTCCAGACATTACGTTTTGTTGTATTTTACTCCAGAAAAAATTCAATTACAATATATTTTATTTCTACAACTCCAAGTCACAACAGAAGTCATCTCACTGAACAAAAACATTCACATACTGTACAAAAGACAATAGAAAAATTCTCTATGTAAGAAAGCAGCTAATTGGAACACAACAAACAACACTGGAACACAAACTCTCTGTCTTCAGAACTTTACAGCATTGGGCCGAATGCATCCCCACAAAGACAGAAGGGAAGGAAAAGGAACAGAAACACATCCAAGATGCTCTCCAAACATGTGGATATCCTAACTGGGCTTTTGTCAAGTCAGCAAATAAATCTACAAAACACACTAATAAACAGAAAAAGGAGAACAACAGATGTAAAAACATTGTCATCCCTTATGTTGCTGGAGTATCAAAGAAATTCAGAAGAATCTTCAACAAACACAAGATCCCAGTACATTTCAAACCCAGCAGGACTCTCTGACAGAGGCTGGTCCACCCTAAGGACAGAACACCCATACACAAACAGAGTGGTGTAGTGTATGCGGTCCAGTGCAGCGAGGACTGTCCAGACCTCTACATTGAAGAAACTAAACAGCCTCTTCACAGACGCATGGCTCAACACAGGAGAGCTACTTCCTCAGGACAAGATTCAGCAGTTCACCTCCACCTCACAGATAAGGGACACTCTTTTGAGGACCAAAATGTGCACATTTTGGACCGAGAACACACATGGTTTGAGAGGGGGGTGAAAAAAGCAATTTATGTAAAAAGAGAAAAGCCGTCTCTTAACAGAGGAGGAGGCCTCAGATTTCCACTTTCAAAAACATATAATGCAACTTTAAGACTGATTCCCAGCCAGTTTTCACACCAGATGGGAACAGAGGAGCCTCATCTGTGAATTAGAGTAACAAAGACTTTAAGAAACCCCTACTGTTAATATGTTTAGGTGTGAATAGACTATATGCCACGGACTTCCGTTCTAGCACTTCCGCATTTTTCAGAAGGGCTGCGCACTTCCTGTTTGCTGTCAACACAGTGTTAGTGATGGCGTTTTTCACTCGATCACTGCAGGACTTGCCAACAATATCTGTTAATGATGTCTACAGAATTATTCAGACTTTCTCGAAAGCGCCCACATCTAAAAAGGACAAAGGATTCAAGCTTTATGTGTCCAACTACATAAATAAGTACGAAGGTAAGTCGGTATTTTTTTTTCAGTTCACCGAACTGCCTCATGCAGGCTACATATAACACAGCTAACGTAGCTAACCTTGCTAAATTGTTGAGTAAACGTGTGTTGTCTGTACAATGTTTCTGATTAACCCAAATATTAGTTTCAAACAAGGAGGCAGGAGAAGTAACAGTTAGGGCTGAGTGTTTCCAGTCAATGAGGAAAAGCCAGAAGCCCCACTGTTTGAGTGTAAGTCAAAACCACCCGACATGTTCTCTACAGGGCTGTGTTTTAAGAAGCTAGTAGGACTTTGATAATTACGGTTGTCTTTTTATAATAGCATTTACAGTTGGTACATTTTGGTCTCTGAAATATTTGGTATTGTACACAGATGGTGCTGAGGGAATCAAAGCCGGTGGAGTTTCAGGGATGTCAGTGCACCTGTGTGGCAGGTACAGTCCTGTGCAGCCATGTGGCAGCTCTGCTTTTCCAGACGGCTCACTACTCCCAGTTGAAGCTTCCAGCTGTTCCTCCAGTCCTAAGCTGCACAGACACCGAACAAAAGTGGCATAAACCGAGGACAATGGTAACTACATATTGATGACTCTTTATTCCTGCTTATGAATTATAGTTCAATACTGTATTTACATCAATGTTGTTTTTGGATGCAGGGCATAAAACCTGGTCCAGTTAAGGACATGGTCGTCCTGTCAGCAAAACCAAGAGAGAGGAAAATCTTTGAAGGAATTAGGTTTGTTTTAATTTAAAGAACACAGACACATGCACAAACACACACACACACACACACATTTTTAAAAATTCATTAAATTTACTATCACAACACATGCACAAGAAGTGCATGTTTTGCTGTTTTATGTGCTTTATACATAAAATGTTATGGTATGGTACTTAAGCTTATGTTGTACTATGCCAGAGATAGGTTAAAAATGCAAATAAGTAACTAATCAAACTTCGTTTTTAAACAAGACAATAACTTTATTGCCTAAAATACAATAACATAGGCTTTATTTAGTATAAATTTCATCATTTGCCTATTAATGTCTTGTTTATGACAAATTTTTATTTTTCTCAACAGAAGCAACTTGTATAAAGGCACTACCAGCCCTCTGCCACTCATCTCCACCCTAAGGATACAGGATGTGTACCGGGGACTTCCAGCTGAAGAAGCGCCAATGATCACCACAATGGCTGTCTCCAACGATGTCCCTCTTGTTGACTCTTTGTTTGGTCCAGTACAAGAGGGAAGTGTTCTGTCATATCAGCTGCCAGCAAAGGTAGTTCCCAGGACCCGTCCACACCAACACGTCCTTTCTTCCCCACAGCTTCCACTCTACAATTACAGGCTTGAACACTCCAGCTGTGCGTATGTATGTTCAGAACAACAGCAACACCATATGATGTCCCTTGAGACAACGTTAGAGATGTCTCACAAAATTGAGAGCAGCACACGGGAGCAGAGCTTCTGTCCAGAGTGGCACCAACTAAGAAAGTGTTGTGTTACTTCAACAAGGTTTAGGGAGGTCTGTCACACCAGGGGTGACAGCTCTTCTGAAAATCTTGCGAAAAGGCTTCTGAGACCCTGCAGTCAAACTGCTGACATGCGTCGGGGTCTTACCCTAGAGCCAACAGCTATAGAGGAGTATTGCAGGGTAAGGGAAGTAAACCACTACCCATGTGGGTTCTTGATACATCCTGACGCACCATGGATGGGGTCATCACCAGATGGAATTATTTACGATCCTGAGGAGCAACAAGTGTTTGGCCTTTTAGAAATAAAATGCCCAAATGTGACAAGCTATGTGGACTGCTCTTACATAATGATTAGGGATGGTAGGCAGACACTCAAACGTACACACCCATATTACTGGCAAATCCAGGGACAAATGCTAATTTCAGGGTGTGACTGGTGTGACTTTGTCATTTACACAGAAAATGACATGTTTATTGAGAGGGTTCCCCGTGACATGCAAGTACTGCAAACCATAAAACAAAAGGTTGACCATTTCTTTTTTTATTTTTACCTCAGCGCTTGCCTGGCAAATTAAGGTAACATAGTCAAATTTTAACCTTTGCATATATGATTGA